GGGAACATTTGTTAGACCATTCCCCCATCTCTGACTGTCAGTACAGTTTCCAGAAACAAAAGTCTACAACAACAGCTCTACTTTTTACTACACAGGAGTGGCTTTCATGATTAAATCAACAGCTTACGCAGTTTTGCCTCACCACTAGCAAAACTCTTCAGTCTTTGTTGTCAACTGGAAAGTTTCCACAAATGTGCAAAGTTGCAAGTGTTGTTCCTATCCCCAAATCAAATAACAAAAATTACCCATCTAACTACAGAACAATATCACTTTATAGTGTTAGAACTAACTTTTGAAGAAGATTGTATATTCCGTGGTGTGGGAACATTTGTTAGACCATTCCCCCATCTCTGACTGTCGGTGGGGTTTCCAGAAACAAAAGTCTACTACAACAGCTCTACTTTTTACTACACAAGAGTGGCTTAAATTTCTCGATAGGAAACAGGAGGTTATTTGTGTGTAGCTACTTTGACTACAAAAAGGTATTTGGCAGTGTTTCGCATAGAAAGTTATGGAGAGGTTATCCCAGTTTGGTTTTCACACACTTTTTCTGTCATGGCTAAAGCAATAGACAACAGTTTGTTCGTATCAATGGTGATGGCTCACAGTCTATAGTGGTTCACTCAGGAGTACCGCAAGGCTCTGTATTAGGTCCACTGTTGTTTTTACTCTACATCAACGACGTCACAAAACTATTATTATACATAGTTGTCTCTCTTGCTGATGACATGTTACTTTGCAAGCCAATCACTTGTCAGACATATATATTGTGACGAAATACAGCAGGATATTAACTATCTATCATAGTGTTCAGATAAGGAAACGTCTTTTAACACTAACATTTGCAAATGTATGTTGCTGTCCGACAAACGCAACAATTCTCCACCATCAATTTTACTTAATTATCAGCCACTTGAATTTGTCCAGCAGTACAAGTATTTTGGTGTAATACTATCTAGCAACCTATGCTGGTCATCTCATATCCAACATATTATATGCAGCAAAGGGAGAAAAGGTTCTAGGCATCCTCTACCGCAATATCTCACCAAACACCCAAACACTAATAATCGTTTGACTATTATGAAACTTTATGTGGCTCAAGTACGCAGCGCAAGTGTGGAATCCCCATCAGCGAAAGACATTAATTATCTTGAAATGGTGCAGAAATTTGGTATAAGAATTTGTTCAAAAGACTATCACGAATCTTATCAAAATCTGCTGGATTTCTATACCATCACTTCAGAACAGGAGGAGAGCTGTTTTTGTGTTTATGTACCTTCTACGGTATTGTTATAAACCGGACTTGTGTGTTTCCCAAGTGAGTGTCTCCCTCAACCCACCATGGCAGCTCAGTCGAAACTACAACCCCTATGCTTACAGGGTTCCTCGAGCTCATCTCAATGGCCTTTAATTTTCATTGTTTGCTAATACAATCAGGGTATGGAACAACTTGCCACATGAAACACTAACTTCTCTGTTTATGTTCAGACATGTCATATCATCACCTCTCTTTATGTGTTGGTTATGTATATAGATGCTGGGATCACTTCATTATTTGCTCGGCTATTTAGTGTATCCAAGCATCAAAAATACGTACCGATCGCAAAACGCGCGCCGCCCGGCGGCTTCCTTTGTAGCAAGTAGCTATTCGGGACGCGCTTATGACTCGCCGAGCTGGGATGTAGGCTGTTGGCGTTACCCAGGGTGCTTTATTTGCGGCCTACGCAGTGGCCAGGTAAGTCAATGTTATGCCTTCGTTCACGTATCGCACCACGGGCAGCTTGAGGAGAGCGGGGCCGCAGCCGATTTTTCCGAGGGCTGGCCCCTCGAGAGTATTGGCGTGCGACAGCCAGCGGAACGTAATCTGAAATTCAGTCCACTGCCGCTGGAGTTGTGAATTTAGCTTAACTTGCCCCTCTCCCCATAATTTTATATGTCCGTAAACAAATACAAGAGAAGCAGTTTTGCCATCTTTCCGAGCAGAGTACAGCAGTACCGCTGTTTTCACAGAGACTAAAGAAAGATGTTGCGAATGTTATGGTTCCACCTGACTATTGCCTTACAAGCATCCCTAACATCCAGTCAGTGGCCCTACCACCAGATATATCCCCCAGTCAACGACACGGATGGCCGGACACCGCTGTATTTCGCAGTAGTACTTTCTTTTGGTTGGAGCAGCTACAAGAGCATCGGAGCACTGCCGGGAATCCAGATAGCACTGGACTACATCAACAGTGAACCCTCCATCCTCCCTGGATACAGTCTTCACTACACCCTCACAGACTCACAGGTATGTAGCTAGGTAGCCACTCTGAACGGGAAAATGCTGAGTGGCCTGGCTTTTAGCTAAGTGTCTCTATGTTGAGTTATAGCTAGCTAGCTTTTATACGCACATTCGTTCTCTCGTATATAATCAGGCCTCTCTGGCTTAGTGAAGCGTCAGCGTTCTATGTGGGATGTGCTATGACACATTTTAGCGTCCCACTAGCTGCCAATATCATGGCGAGAACTTATAAGCAGAGGTTATTTAGGTAATTGCGTGAATGCAAGCTTTTTTCAAAGTTGGCCATTGACTATGTGCTGGGATCAGCTCTGTGTTATTGTACATCCATTTTCTTGTAGAGCACCTTCCAGGGAGTAGCTATAGCATGCCTTGAATTCGGGCCAACTGCAAAAAAAGGTTTTCCTGAAATATGTTTTAAGCCTTCCCTGCTATTTGGTTAAAAGATACATACTGTATATTCACTGCGCCACGTCCATTTACATTTAGCTATATATAATCATAACAGGCTACTTTAATTCTCAGAGAAAGGTATAATTGTAGTCATCATCGGTAATAAACGCAGAGCTTCTAGAATGTAGAATGTAAAAGCGGAGGAAGGAAAAAGATGTACAGTGACAAAAGGTGATGGTAAAATGAAAAGCACTAAAGTGCAAACCCTCGGCGCTAAACGCATCGTTGTATGCTCGGCCTTGCGTCATCGACGGAGCCAGTAACACGAGCCGTAACAGGGTAGTTGCATTAGTGGTTTGAGCAATTCCTCAGGTGTTTCAGAGGCTCTCATATTTGCTTTATTCCATTCTTTGTTTCAATACTCTCGCCAGGTGTTTTATAAATGGGAAAGCAAGGCCTGCGCGCCGAGGGTTAAAGACAAACAGTAGACGGGAGTTCTAGGCTACTCCACTACAGTGCAGACGGAATGAGTCTATTGACTATGCTGGGATCAGCTCTGTGTCGATAAAAAGTACAAGCACATCTATCTACGTGGGTCTAGTGCACTCACCAGTTACACGTCACTTCCACACAAGTAGCTACTGCAGGCTAACGGACGAAAAAGGTTTTCCATGTTTTAACACTTAACCAGCCAGACTCTCCATAAGTCCATAAGAATTTATATTGGAGTTATAATACTAGGCGCTACATTCTACTCTCAAACAAACATTCATGCATGCATATTAAGATGGCGTCCAAAAGAGGCCACGAGTTGTGAAAGCCTTCCCTCCATTATGTTTGTAAACTGTTTATCATTCGCCATGCAGTCCATATTTAAGCTATAATAGCTAACAGGCCACTATTAGTACCCAACTGTCAAAGAAAGGTCTGTATTTGAGTCACAAAAACGGGGCCCCGCACAATAAACACGACCTGTCAGAAAGTATAGAACACTTAAAAGCGGAAGAAGGAAAAGGTGTGCAGTGACAACAGGTGTTGGGTAAACAGCAGATAGGGCGCTCTAGCTTTCCACTACAGAACAGACAGCAACGAGGCTTGTTTTTCTTATGATACTGCATTTACAGCTGACCAGTCATACTATATCGGCTAATGCTAGATCTGCCTCGCAGTCAAGAGTGGCACGTGTCACAATGGTTCTGCTGATTACATTCTACACTGTCATTTACAGTTCCTCTCTTCTGGGATAACTATTAAAACTCAGACACATTTCTATCCACAGTGTAGACAGGCAAACAGCCATGCTGAGTAGTTCTTACTTTAGCCAGTTGAATGAATCCGCCTATTAAGACATAGGGTGGTGGGGTCAGCTGATTCAACAGCAACAGAGCCACCAGCCGAGTGACCACTTTTACAACATCACACAGGTAAGTAGGCTTAGATCGACATCCTAAGTAGCACAAAATTCTCACATGTTTTTTACAACCATATATATTCCTGGCTATAGTCATAATACTGACACAGTCGCTACCAGTAAACTCTCTCTCTCTCAATCTCATCTCTCTCTCTCACCAACACTCTCCCACCTCTCTCTCTCTCTCTCTCTCTCTCTCTCGGGTACCACGTCCGTGCGCATGCACACTCGTCTAAGTCGTGCGGCTTGTGTAAGTTCGTCACCACCGATCACCAGACCTGCAATAATAGAGAAAGATTAGTATAGTAAAACTCTCGATTAGCAGTATGTTACCTCTTCATTCATCTTATTATTCCTGGCATGACATGCTTCCTTTTGTGCGATGCTGCAACATTGAATTCTAGGTACTACTTCCAGCTTGTAGCCACAAATCTGCTTGGTGCGCATGGATTTTTTGGAATAATTCAACATTTGGTTGGAGGAAAGTCCGACTTGTTGCTCAGGATGAAAATGTCTTCACTGCAGTGAGCTGATGTCCATTAATGAATATGCTCCTATTATAGCTCATTAATATTCTTTAGACTATGGATGTTTTGAAGGATATGTTAGATAAGAATGCAGTGGAGTACACAGAAGTACGGTTTAGAAGTGAGGAACTGTGCCAAGCATTAACGCTTTGTAAGTTGTTTTATTCCTCAGATCTATACTTTCCAGTAGCTATATAGTGTTAAAAAACATTAATTCGAGACATTCCTTTCGAATTTGAAACAATTATGAGATGGTACTAGTTTATGTGCATTTGATATGATCACCAGCAATGTGCATGTGTATTATAAGTGAACAAACCATCATTTTCTTAAGAACTCAGAAACAAGAATATATGTGTTGGCAATGGACATTCCTCATGCAAGGGATGCACTTTGTGAGGTACGACAATAAGTCAAGAAGCTCTTGTTGCTCTAGCAAGTCATTGGCTGCAGGCATACAGACGTGGATTTCATTATCCCAAGTATGTCATCATAACTTTTGGCGGGTATGTCAGACAGTGGTGGGAGATGGATGCACCATCCACCAACTGCACGGCTGAGGAGAGAGACCAGTCCTCCTCTATAGCTTGGCTGCTGTTCCATCTCAGTTACCTAGAGAGCAAGATGAATACACAGCAGAACCAAACATAGTGAGTGCTTTCCATTCATGGAATTGTGTCTTTACTTTGAAGTTTTTTGTTATGCACGTCAGAGTCACCGTTATTAACAAAATAACGTGCTGTTTTCTTCAGACCCTTTCAGAATTCAACTCACTTTACCACGAAGTTGTGAGGAGGGGCATCAATAGCCAGAACAATTTGGAAGAGTTCACTGACTACATTTTCCCTTATGCCTACCAGTGCAATGAAGCCACCCTTGCTTATGCTTATGCCTTAAGCAAAACAATAGCCGGTAAGTTTATATGTGCAAATCAAAAAAATGCAATTCCTGTGATTTAGATCTTGCTGAGAATGAGACGCTAAACAGAGAAGCTGCAGAGGAAAGTGGTCTTCCTGAAGGAGAGACCTTCACAATGGCCAACTTCACCTATGCCAACTCAGCAGTTGTGTCTCGGATGTTTGAACACCTCCAGAACACCATGTTCCCCGGAATAAGTGTTAGTGCATTCAGTTACAGTTATTATAAGACTACACAGAGAGTAGAGAGTCATTGTATTCCTTCGCCTATCAATGTAAAAGATGCTTTGTTGTCATATTTCAATATTGTTGCCTTCAGCAGTGATGATATTGTGAAAAAAACTATTTGTATTTCAGGTGTGTACAACGTAATGTTAGCTACTTCCTACTATTGTCCCACAGGGTAACGATGTGAGATTCAATCATGAAGGAATTCGTGACATTGACCAAGTGAGAATTCTGCAATACCAATTAAATGATGATGGTATGTGTATTATGACGCATAGTATGTGGTTATTATTACTGTTGTCATAGAGATAATTATACGTGTTGAAGTTGGGGAAGTTGTAAATGTTGGAGATTATAGTACTTTTCAACATACAAATGACTCTTTTCTCTTTCCTGGTAAGGCAGTAAGCGTCTTTTTAAACTTCAACACATGAATTGTTGAGTGTTGCTCAGACGGTGTTCCTACTGACGGAGTGCCAATTGAGGAGGTGGTGACAGTCACCATAGGTCTTACCGTTGTCTACGTGATTCTTGCTGCAGCTGGACTTGTCTTTACCATCATTTGTCTTGTTTTCACCATCTTCTTCCGAAATGAAAGGTTCAATTAATGTAGGTCAGGTGACGTGATGGTCTAACAGAGCTCATGCTTTTATCAATTTAGATTGATTCGACTCTCCAGTCCAAACCTTAACTACATGATTGGACTGGGAGCTATAGTTCTCTACATAAATGTCATCATTCTTGTCATCCCTGCTAAAGACACGAACTTAGCTGCTGTAATATGCAATGTATGTAACTAAAGAACTCTCACACTAACTTTTACAACATTTTTCTATCTTCAAGGTCAATCCCTGGCTGATATCTCTAGGGTGTTCTCTTTGTTATGGGATTATCATAATTAAGATGATAAGAGTTTGGGTTATATTTAACAGACCTCTTGAATTCAAAGCAGTAAGTGAGATTTTTATACCTACTTACTTCCAGCATCATTATTGCAACATACAGCGACTGTTCAGGGACTATCTGATGACACTGTTTGTACTGTGTCTGGCCATCATTGATGTAGTCATTCTTCTGCTTTATACTGTGATTGAAGCTACCCGAGATAATCTTGGAGTAAAACTGACATCTAACAGAGAACTGCCAGAAGAAACATTTGGAGTAAGTATATTATACTTTCATACTGAAGATGAGTAGCTACCATTCATTTATTACTAATTTTTGTCTGGCATAAAGAGCAGGTGTTTACGTAAGGGGCATATTATCGACACCAATATCTAAAAACAAGATATTAAAGCTCTTACTAACCACCATCCTTATTGTTCCTAAGCAAAATTTAATATCAAACAAAGATATAGGGATAGTGTCATGTAGCTTCGTGAATTATTGCTGTGTAATGAGCAAGTACCATGCACTACATCACGGAAAAATGTCGGTAGCCTTGTTATTATCACAATACACATCAATCTCTCTTAGGTGACAGCTGAGCGTCACAAGTACTCTCTGTACATTTGTGAATCTAAAGGACAAGTGTATCTGTATGCAATTCTGTTTGGATACAAAGGCATTCTGCAAGTCCTGGCTCTGCTCCTGGCTTTTCGTACTCGCAATGTGAAGGTGAAGGGTCTGGATGACTCTGTGTACATTGCTGCCTCTGTGTACGTCACAAGTATTGTGTTGACTGTCATCATTGTCTCCACCTATACTCTGAGGGAGTATGTGAATGCCTTCCCAGCTGTGGTGGGAATGGGATTACTGCTGGGAACCACCACGATCATCGGACTTGTCTTCATACCAAGGGTAAGTAAGCAGTAGCTTTAAGTTAGAACCTGTATTAAAGAGTGAAGCAACTGTTTAGGTCTAAACTAGAGGAATGCAATGCACTTTTGGTGAGTGAAGCGAGCATTTCATTATTTTAGCAGAATCGTGTAAACATTACGGTATGTTGGTCCATGGGTACGTTGTTCACTGTTGCAGATCGATAATTCTGCATTCAGACACCTAGGTTGGCCTGTTTCACTTGCCAAATAGTGTTGTATTTGTAATGGCTTAACATAATACTCGAACAAATGTAGCACATTTTTGGTGGAGCAAACACATGTCCCGTATAATATTACATTGTGTGCAGTGGCATTGCCCGTCATAGAAAAATGCCGCATTGAGAAAACAAGGTGTTTTTATTTTTTATTATGTTGTGCATTGATCAGCAATATTTGAATGAGGTCAAATATCCGTTTTGACTAAATTCTTGGGTGATGATGACTAGATAAGTGTGGTTTGTTACAGGGACTAATAATAATGACCATTACTGGGTAACAAATCACATGTTCCAGATGGTAGGTCTGTATAAGGACCCCAAGGGAGAGACAATCAGTACACAGGGAACATCTGGTCTGAGGGATGATTTAGCTTCTGACAAATCATCGGATACCGAGCTAAAGATGCTTCGTCACAGGGTTATTCAACTTGAAAATAGTCTCAGGAAGCATGTGAGCTTTTAGATAATCCCTTTGTTCTAAACTTAAAAAATATCATAGGGTGTAGCTGATACTGACATGTTGGAGGAAAATGTGGGGCAAAGTGACACGGAGAATACCATATAAAAATTAACGATGATGGAACTCATTATAGTGTTGTAAATAGAAACTGGTAGCTAAGTCATTTATGTCAAGTACTTTTGTATGTATTTTCGTGTGTACTTTTACTCTATGCCAGGGAGGAATGTCATAGATATGCATTCATGCACTGACTGGTTGTTAGATACTGTTGCATCCCTTTTACTTTATTTATACTTCATTTCCTGTGTGCGTAAAGGTACTTTACCAATAATACTGTCAATGAATGCTAACTTAACCCATGAAACACAACAATATCAATTCCCTAAGAATCACAAGCACTCTGTGTATAGTGAATCTAAAGGACAAGTACATCTGTATTGAGTTCTGTTTTAACTGAGAGCTCTCTTGGGACGAGGGGAAAAGAGAGAGACATGGGAGATGGAGAGACTTATGAGGGCTAGGCCACACAGACAGCTGACTTTTTATAGCACTCCGCGATGGCTAGCATTACGGTGGTGAATATGCATCTTAAAGTCAACCCAAAATTTTGCTATATAAAAATGTGTATTGGTTAAAACACCCCCATTGAGGGATCTGGCTGGTATACACGCATGAAGGCCGAGTGCACATGGTGCACAAGGGTTGATGGCATGTATAGCTACTGCCAGATCCAGATCACCCCAAGACAAGACTCTCCGCGAGCTACTCTAGATGGAGACCACGAGTAAACACATACTAATAGCCCAGCCCATGAATTAGTGGTATCACGCATGCACAGTTTGCCGAGGGTTTGCACTTCAGTGCCTTTCATTGTGGTGGCTTGGAGAAAAGCTGTTTGAGACAGTGCCGGTCTGATCAGGGTCAACTAGGGGTATGTACCTCAGGGCAACCACAAGGTACACCCTGTGGGGTCAGAGGTGTGGACAATTTCTGTTTATTCACCTCAACAGCCCTACGGCCCAACTTCACTCCCACCAAAGGAAGGTCTTGCCGCTTCTTCATTCAGATCTGGTCTTGAAATGATCAGTGTTAGAAAGAAGCACATGTCCACACATAGGTCACGATATGATGGGTCCTTGTCGCCACTTTTAGAGCAGGTGTGATAGGGGTGATGGGAGTTAGTATGAATTATAGACTGTAGGCAAACCTCCACGGGTTAAACAGACTTGGCACTCACTCACCAGTTTGCCAACAATAATGCCCAATCCCCGTGCAGAACTTCGTGTGGCAGTCGTCCGTGAGAGCATCATAGTTTGTACCTGAGAGCATGAATAATTCGTATATAGCAGGCCATAGCTCATAGTACTCATCTTTATACAGCTATGATACCGAGGATTCCAAATATGGCACACTTTCGGAGAATTTGTTTGTGGCTCTCAGCAATGTGGTATTTATAACCACCATTTCCTGGTGTGGTGTCGAAATGGAGCTTTAGGGCACATGTCTGGAGCAAACTCTCTCCCTGTGTCATCACCATTACCTGTTGAATCCTCTGAGGAATCTGACCTCCCTGACCCCCTAGATGAAGTGGAACTGTTACCAAGAGGACGAAGTGTTTACATAAACCAGCGTTCTCAGCAGAGGGTTTTGGTATCAGGCTCCCCTACTCCTTTCTTCCGGATAATTATGTGCCTTAGGCCTTTATCTCTGCTAGCTTGTTGTGTGCACACAAATACACACGAGGTAGAAGGTGGAGGCATCATGCCCTGTGCATTGTGTAAGAAGAATAGTAGGGATATTTTGCAGACATCAATACAGCACCATAGAACAGATGCAAGGGTTCAGATGGAAAACCACATTGCTGTTAGGATATAAAATTGCATCACGCAACCTCGAGTATGTCGCTTGTCTATGAAAAAATCTGAATTGTGTAGAGAGAAGGGGGCGCAAGCAATAACAATGCAAGTCCAATAACAATGGAAGTTGGAAGTACAATAACTATGGAAAGGTCGTAAGTGCCAAACAAAGTGCAGATAAGGCAGTAAGTGCAGTACAACTAGAGAGTGAGGAGACTGGAGACGATGGAAGTGAGGGAGACTGGAGACGAGGGGAGTGAGGGAGACTGGAGACGAGGGGAGTGAGGGAGACTGGAAATGAGGGGAGTGAGGGAGATGGGAGACGAGGGGAGTGAGGGAGACGGGAGACGAGGGGAGTGAGGGAGACTGGAGACTGGAGACGAGGGGAAGTGATGGAGACTGGAGACGAAGGGAAGTGATGGAGGCTGGAGACTGGAGACGAGGGTAGTGATGGAGACTGGAGACTGGAGACGAGGGGAGTGATGGAGGCTGGAGACTGGAGACGAGGGGAGTGATGGAGACTGGAGACGAGGGGAGTGATGGAGACTGGAGACGAGGGTAGTGATGGAGGCTGGAGACTGGAGACGAGGGAGTGATGGAGACTGGAGACGAGGGGAGTGATGGAGACTGGAGACGAGGGTAGTGATGGAGACTGGAGACAGGGGAGTGATGGAGACTGGAGACGAGGGGAGTGAGCAAAGTACACAGAGCAAGCGGATCAGGGTGAAGTGAGCGGTGCTACTTACCCTGGCTAATAAAAAGTACTGTCCAACTTATTCGAAAACTTGACGCGTTGTTTAGAATAGCTAAAAGAAACAAGAGTGTAGTGCACTTTCTCCACTACTAGATAATGAAGAACAAAATTGTATGCCTTCTACGCAATAACAAGAGACAATATTTCAGCAATCTGGAAACTGCTAGCAATAAAGTATTTAAATCTATAAACAGCTTAATTAAAACCAGGAATCCATATATACCATCACTACATACACAGTTTCTGATGATACGCAAAGGCTGGCGTTCTCAATGATTTCTTTTAGTTGTTGGAACACACTGGAACAGCTATTGGCTGAAGAACATTAGCCCACTGCTGCTGCCCATCTCCCATTTGATGATGCTACTTTATCAGCTGAACAGGTATTTAACCTCATCACTAGTTTTGATACATTATAACCAATGGCCCTGATGGCATATCTGCTTTCATGCTAAAATCAGCAGCTTACAGTTTTGCCTCAACGCAAGCAAACTCTTCAGTCTTTCAATTGTATATTCC